TATACAGAACAGAAGAAAAAATAACAATCGCATTCAAAGTCACGCAACTTAACGGCGTCCATGCACAAGCTGTATAATTACATCCAATCAAACAGTAATTCCTATTTACTTTTCCCCCACATTTTCTCGCTCGCTATCTGCAACGTGCCAATCATCCTATTCTTTGAATCGGCCATTACAATTGTAAACAGCGCGGCCGGTTATTAAATGTTATTATAAGGAATTAATGTAAGGAAAAATCGCTGTCGTCATGCTTCATTGATTGCAGGTACTAACTAGCTTGGTGCTGCTAACTCGTGCTTGAGATCTAGGTTGCTATGACTTTATTTTATACCGCTTCTTTCTAAGCGCATGTTAACTTCATTGAAATGTCCAAGACCCTGCGTCCACGAGGCTCATTTGCAATACCTCATTGTCGCACTAATTATTCTAAAAGTGGGTTCCTTGTACGGGGTTGTACCCAATTTAATAACGAATATCAAGAAGTTAATATATTTAACAATAATATATTTCGGTTCAAATCCGCCTTTAGGAAGCTTTTATTAACATAATGAATCGATCGAAGGAATTTTTCTTAGTTCGATCTTTGTTATAATAATTATCATAACAAACTAGTGGAGTAATTTCACATAAAATAATTGAACATCATGGTACTTAGTTGAACATAAGTGATTTATAATTTTTGTTGCTTAGTCGTAATTATTATGTTCGAGGTGTTGCCTGCTTATAGCTATGTACAAATATTTCTTTCCAACGTAACTTATTTTAAAATTAGTGGAACTTATTTTGGCTAGTATTTGTTACATATGTATCAAAAATGAAAATATGATGCTACATGTTTCCCAAATAAATAAAATAAAAAGCATTTAAATTGTTACAGACGCCAAGCCCTCGATATATTTTAATTTTACAAAACAAGAAGAATTAAACATGTGTGCATTAAAAATTCAGGATTTATACCATAGTTTCCCAAAGTTACCCTTTCCTCCCCCAGTGCCCAGTGCACTGAAGAGTCCTCTGAGGGGCTAGGGGCCTCAGAAGCAACTGGGGGCGTTGACACTGTCCAGGGGGTGCTACCACATTTCAAAAAATAAACCTGAATTATCTATACGTATAAAGTACACTATATAGATTTTTTTCGTGTGATTTTTTGTGTTAACATTAAAAAATACGTGTTTTTAATTATTTTTTTGTGGTGGTGGGCGTTAAATTTTTTTTATGTTGCCTAAGCGGTGAGCCAAAAACTTTGGAAACCTATTATTTACACAATTCAACGTGTCGACCACACTACATTTGTTGGCGCGTGTGAACAAATAGTTGACCAAGTTATCTGACCACAAATTCTAAATAATTCATGTCGAACGACTTATTTGTATAATTTTATCTATTGTCTTAGGAAAAATGATGGTCTTTATACTTGCGGTCTAATTGAAGTACTTTGCGGTTTAACTCCAGTTCGAGTAGAACTAATTTCAGAACTGTCTTGTCTCGCTCTCGCTACATATTAATGAGCAATAAATCAACAGGCATAGTTAGGTATAAGTTCTGTCTAAAAAAAATCAAAGTAGAGCAGCGAAACCTCAACAAAAAACTCCCTCATCCACCTTAGCTACGCAGCTAGTAGACATATTTATACATGTAATTGTATGTAGGCGCAAATGTAGGTAAATGCAGTTTCGAGTCCGAAATCGCTGTACGCATGCGCGGCCACGCGGCGCGACTCCTAATCGCGGCAGGGTGAAGCCCAAAGCCCTACAAGACGGAGCTTGCGGACGGCTGTCGTATGATGTATTTGATAAATTGTTCCCAGGAATCGGACAGAGGCATCGGATCTTATATTTGAATGGATAAAATAACACATTAATTGTATTTGCTACAATCCTGACACACCTTCAATAAATACATTTCTTTTGGATATACATAATTACACGTTACCCTGTTTCTTAGTTTAATTAAAACTGAACCCTGAAAGATCACATTATTTTTAAAATCGTCACAACATTATTCTGATCTGTAATAAGTGTGTAGTAGTCCACTGTTTGTTTGTGTACATAGTACTTTACCTTACCTGAACAATTGATTATAATCAGGTAAAATTTCATTGTAGTAATAAAATTGTTATAATTTAATTTTATTCAAACTTTACTTAAATACGTCACTTATTCTGCCTCACTTAAACGGCCTCTGTGGCCGAACGGTTACCATGCCGGACTGCCACGCAGATCCCAGGTTCGATTCCCGGGTCGAGAGAAATATTTGTATGGCCTACATTTATTTCTCTCGTGAGTTTGGGTGTAATTTGTGGTTGTCTATGTATCTGTCCATGGCACCCGCGACACAGCGTTTCCCTAGTGCGGGGCTATGTTGAGTGTGTGCGTTATTATATTATTATTATTATTCTGGACACATCATTCCTATATAGGTTATATGTCAAATAAAGATATATAAAAAGACAACATGAGCCTAGATCCTACACAATTACGATTCAAAGTGTATTCCATAGCATTTAAGTTTATTTGAAAAGAGCAATCGCTAGAGTTTCTTACGTTTCTTTTCAGGGAGGTCAGCTCGTTTACTAACGAGCAGTAGTTTAAAAAATTTCATTTTCAAGTGTAATTTTTTTTGTGTGGAATAAATAATTATTTCACTTTGACTTATAGATATCATATCGTGTACCAATAATATCTATATTCTTGCATAAACTAAGGTAAATAAATGTAAGTGTACTGATTAAAAATTATATTTTCTTGCAAAACATTGTATATACACATCGACAAAACGATAATTATTCAATAATAAATTTACAGCAGTTTCGACGATAAAAACTGTTAAGTAATTTTTGGTCAGATCAAAATCGTTAAATCGTTTAGATTTAGATTTGTTCAATAGGTACGTGAATAATGGACAATGCTTTTTTACCTTTCACATGTTTCCCCAAAAAAAAAAGCAATAAAATATATTTTCTATTTAAAGTATTGCTTTCCCAATATAGTTTTTTAAAAATAGTCAATTGGGATGATTTGGCATTAGTATGAACTTGCAGGTAAAAGTTAATGATGTCACTACAAGTTATCATTACAAGCGAGGCACAAGCAAGACCATCGCGGGAGTAGTTGTGTCGTGCACACAAATAAACTAAGACAATCTAAACCCTCAGCGTGAATGCCGTAACCAAACTAATATTATAAATGCGAAAGTAACTCTGTTTCTTACATTTTGACGCCTAAAGCGCTGAAGCAAATTTGATGAATTTTAACCGACATCGAAAGAAAGGAGGAGGTTCTTAATTCGACTGTACTTCTTTATGTATGTTACGCGATAACTCCGTGATGTCCAATAATTTGTGAACCTATTTTGATGATTCTTTTTTTGTTGGAAAGAGGGGTACCTCAGTATTGGTCCCATTTAAATTTGATGAAAATATTTCATCTCTACGGGGATGAATCCGGTTTCGCGCACTTCCCGGTAACCGATTCCAATAAAACGTGGCAAATAGATGTAATTCCACGAACTTTTGAGGTCAGTTTCATTTTATTAAAAAGTTATGGTATAGAGATAGATGGGACCTAGGAGAAGGACATGGCTACATTTTGTCACAAAAAGAAATATTCAAGGGGGGAGTGTGAAACTTCGTCCAATCATTTCTCAAGTAAGTAGTACAGTAGGCTATTCGAAGTACTTTTTTACGCATACGTGGGCAATAGCTAGTTTTGTATATTTTTGACAGGTCTTCGTCAATAAATATCCCCGCCATTCTCCGAGCAGTAAACAGGATCTTTGGGATTGTTTTCTCGATTTTTAGGTTTAGTATCGAATTCTCAGGTTTTCACTTTTTGTTACACATTGGAAATTAAACTATTTTTTAAGAATTGAATCGCGTATATTTCTTTTTTTTTTCTAACAAACCAACGTTTCGGGCCCTTTATAGGTCCCGTGAAAAAATAGTGTTATTTTGGGTTATTGTTCATAAAAATGTTCTACTCCTATCTCGCTATTGGTGAGTTACGTATAAATCTTAATAACTAACTTCGGTATTATCGAGTTCTTAGGTTTTCGCGATTGTTACACATACAAACAAATTTTCCGGATTTAAGTCGCGTATATTTGTTTTTTCAAACAAACCGACGTTTCGGGCCCTTTAAAGGGATACGCGATTTAAACCCGAAAAAATAGTTTCATTTCCTATAACTTCGGTATTGTATTGACTTAGAGTGGGTCTGAATAGCTTTTTATCTTTAATAGTCATATTAATCTATTGAAATTGTTATCTGAGTTTGAGTGTTGACTGTTTTAAAATTTATTGCGATCAACTCAACTTATACAGATTTAAAAAATAATTACAGATTAAAAAAAACTAAATTGTTATAGTGGTTGTGTAACGTCCAAATGCGCTTTTGCGCAAACTAAATCATATAATTTTGTAGTGGTACGGAGATATATACGCAAACCATGAATTCTTTATTGTCACTGATTTTAATAAACATCAACAACAACGGCAGAAATGTAATATCGTAACGGCAGAAATTAATAAGCACGTAAAACTAGTTTAGATTAATGGCCATGCTGCCACAACCAATAAATAAAATTTAATGAATAAGAGTACCCCTTTGAAAATTAAAAGGCAATGGTAATTCCTCTATCGCAACATAGAGAAATATTTGGCTACGGTAGAGAGTTTCTCTTCCTTCATCGTATATATATTTTGAGAAGCGCCTTAGTTAGTAGAGAAGAAAAAGATTCATCTGCTTTTGCGTATTTCCCCTCATGCCAAGTACATAAGTTTTAGTAGTTTAGATTATTTTGTTCTGTTTTCTCTTTTTTTTGTCTTTTGTCTTTTGTGGTGTCATTGTGGTAAACAAATAAATGTATTTTCTTTCTTTTCTTTCTTTCTTCTTCTAAGTTACTACACTATGGGCATTGCAAACTTATGATGTCAGGATTTCGTTGTCCTCACATTCTAAACATGTGAAAATATTATCAATATATTTCTTTTTTCTCAGAGCGACGGCAAGATGGTGTTTGACGTGATCCAGCGGATGGAGGACACGGAGCCGTTCAGTGAGGAGCTTCTTGCGGCGATGAAGCGGCTTTGGGCCGATGCAGGTGTACAAGAATGCTTCGGTCGCTCCAACGAGTACCAGCTCAACGACTCCGCCAAATAGTAAGTAATTTGTTTCTGTTTAGCGCTGACAGCCGATACACGCATCCCACGAACGACGCGCGACCTATGACACGTCTACGAAAATCGCTTGTATAAAATCTGAGCGTTTTTAGAAGAACTTTTTCGTAATAGGTTTTGCAGTTTGCAACGCATACCGCCGCGTCGAAAGATTTCACTATAGGACGACATGCGTTCTGCGACACAAACTGTCAGTGTAAGCACGACTAATACTGAACTATGGATACGTAAGACGGGACAAAATCCATGTAACAGAAAAGTGCGCTTATCGCTAGGCAGCTATGTAAATCTAACGACTACGAATATTTTTTAATATGAATTCTCACTTCTAAAATACATTCGAATTCGGCAAACATGTTATTTCTTTAGGATTGATCGATTTCTTTCAATACATATTTTAATCGAATACGACTTGAACTTACATGTTTATTTTTTACTGATTCATTATTTTCTTGATACATATTAAGTAATCCTTTTCATCTTTTAAGACGTTAGTGCTCGTTATGTTCTTATAAAATAAAATAAAAATGATAATATTGCTAAAATATTGTATCCTGAGTGCTTTATAAGAATGGTGGCTGAAACCAAAATAGTGATTTTTTTTACTTATTGTTATTTATTACACATAAATATTCGGAATGTTCTAAATTTTATTCTGAATAAATCACCGAGCTTACCATAACTTTAAATAATTACGTGACAGCTTTGAGCAGGCATAGATTCGACATTGCGAAGTACGCCTTTGTTTTTTTTAACTGAAAAGGTGTTTTTAAGGCCACCATTTAGAAAACCATCGACTTGATCTTTTAAGGTAACTTTAATTAGATAATGTCGGTTACGTTTTGACCATTTCACTAATTCATAAGTTGTTTTAATATTTATGTAATAGAAAGTTACTTGTGTCAACAGTTATTTATGAGGTAATAATCTGTTACGTTAGTTTTTCTCGTTTAGTTAGAGTGAACTGGAGTGGCTCGTTTGGAACGTAGGTAGGAGTCACACTGTAGGTCAGCTCGCCGTACCTCCACGAGACGTCGTATCTTTGGAATGTCTGAAATAATTTAATAAATATCAATTTGTTTAGAAGAGATCGATTTTAATATTACATATTGCCAAACATACAGTTCAACTGCCTCCATGGCCGAACGGTTACCATGCCGGACTGCCACGCAGAGGTTCCAGGTTCGATTCCCGGGCCGGGAGAAATATTTGTATGACCTACATTTATTTCTCTCGTGAGTTTGGGTGTAATTTGTGGTTGTCTATGTATGTCCATGGCACCCGCGACACAGGGTTTCCCTAGTGCGGGGCTATGTTGAGTGTGTGCGTTAGTATTATTAATTGATGGGAAGTAATTGCCGCCGCTTACAGGTTTGCTATACTAAAGAATCCTTATGTCGCAGTCGCAAAGGCGTTGTTGCCGTGGCACATAGGATCTTCCATCTCCTGTCCCCACGATTGAGCTGGCTTTCCCGGCCTTTCAATTACTATATGTTTTGTACTATGCCAATTCTTAACTGATACTCTATCGTCGACAAATAACAAAACGTTTACCTTAGCCAGTAACAATTGCAGCTCAGTCTCAGCAAATCGCTTCCCTATGCACATTCGCCGTCCGAATCCAAAAGGGAGAGACGCAAACGGGTGGATACCAACATCTTTTTGTTTCCGGCAAACAATCAACGCTTGATCGTCTTTTGTTTCGTGTTGTGATTGCTGCTCATGCATTGGACATTTTGAAATAGAACATTCCAGAGCAGCCTTTTGGATCTCGTTGTCTCGCAACCAACGTTCAGGCACGTACGCGGATGGGTTGGGGAAATATCTCTCCTCATTCGACATTATGTAGTGTGGAAACACTATATGACTCTGAAAACCAATATAAAATATTCAACATGTACAAATTTTATTTTGAACCAAATGTAAACAGAATTATTAATACGCATACCCCTTTGGGTACTTCATATCCAGATATGACTGCGTCTGATTGGATACAGCGTCCGTTTCCTAAAATAACTGGTTTGATTCTGTTAAAAAAATATAGAACATGTAAATAATATTGAAGATAAATATTTAATTAACTTAGATTGTAATTATGGATATCTTTTAATGATCAACAAGTTTTTCTACATTCCTAGTGTGTTAATAGCAAGAAACTACGTACAATTTAATATTAAATTAAATAAATAGTATAGACGGCCACATAGACCTATGGGATATTTAGAGATTTTCTTGTCTTACGAGATCTAGAGCGAGAAAATCAATTCTGACAGCTCTTAATAACCACCAGGCCGGAATAAATTTAGAAAAGTTAATTTTGTAAATAATCACTTTCATCATCACCCATTTATACGTCAGTGTGACGTGTCTCCTCTCAGGCGAGGGTTTAAGCCAATAGTCCGCCACGATGACCCAATGCGGGTTGGAAACTTCACACGTTTTCCGAAGATATGAACCTTGTTCGATGTGCAGTTAAATTTCGCACATAAATTCCGAGAATCTCGGAGGTGCAAGCGCGGATTCGAACCTACAATCTCTGCTTGAGAGGCGGTAGGTCAAACCATTAGGCTACCACGGCTTAATGAAATAATCGCTTTGCTAGGAATCCAGAAAGGAATATAGAAATACGACAGGATTTCTTACGCAAATTTTTAAACAGAAAAGTTGCGTAAATTCATTAATGATGTGTTAAAATGATAATAAGTAGAGGCAGTTGAAACGTACTAAAGTACGTTTTGTTTAACGGTGCGTCAAGCGCGTAATGAGGCAGAGTGGCAGCTGTCAATTGCAGCTTACAACACGAGCGTTATCAGTGCATAGTAGCCGCGTTCATAATACGGATTATATTTGACATATTACTTACATAACCACCTACAGGTAAAGACAGCTGTGAAACAAATCCAAATCGAGGTTTAGCACTGTTCAGCAAAGAAGTGGCAGTAGTGTCTAAAAGACTGGCTACACGTCTGAGCTTCGCTGTGAGTCATTTGTCCAAGTTAAGAGTCGATACTACTTCATCTCGAATTCAATTTTTTCCCTTAGTAATACGGTTCATTTTGCTTAGGTCGGGCGTTAGGGACACTGGTTTTATTTCAATCTTCAGGCTTTGTTTCGCTTTTTTACAAACGTAATTAAAGCCAATTGAAAAATGTATTATCGTTATAGTATACGTTTTCTATTTAGTTCTGTTAATATAAAGAAAAAATCATTGGTAATCATTGACTTACAATTATATGGACGTCGGGTCCGCGCTAAAAAGTGTCCGAACTTATAGGGCGTTAAAATCGTATACAGAGCGTCATTCACGCTTTAGTCTTCGTTTGTTCGACTGACAGCGAAGCAAGCAAAATAAGACAGTACTGCGATGACATTACAGTTTAAATTCAACGTTTTAGCTTTTTCATATTCCTTTACATGTCACTACGTTTAAATAGGTTGACTTGAAACATTTTTTTCGTGGTTTTTGTATTAGACCCGTCGTCCATTTATTTGTAAGTCAATGTTGGTAATGTAAAGTACCTATTGGATACAACAGTTACCTTGTAAAATTTCCGAGGTAAGTTTGTTTTTTCTATCGTGAAAATTTTTAGGAATCGTCTTTTCACATAATATAGTAATCAGCGTATATCATATATTTTACTATATATTTTTTCTTTTAACACTTTCACTGCTGTGCGAAATCAACCAAAGCCATTTGAGGTAGTATAGTCTCTTAAGCAAGAAGGGTACGTCGGCAAGCTGCTTACAAGGGGTTCTGTTCCCCTAGACTTGCGCAAGTTTACTCATGGTGAAATTCGATCGCGTATGCAGGCCTTAACCCGTTCACGGACAGTAACGTTTACCGTAAAATTAAATGTTATAATACGATAGTACTACGGGGTACCCCGTTTCGCTATATGGGTATAAAAACTAACTAGTGCTTTACAGTACGATTTCCAAATGCTTTCGGTGTAGTTGCCTCTTAATGACAAAATTCAATGATTTACTTACATTGAACGTTTTATATTGAGTCAACATAAGCCCTATGGCAAGAGAACTACTGACTTTTTGTGGCATGAAAGGGTTAAAGTACGTGAAAGTAATACATTCAGGAATATACTAATAGTATGCAGTATTTGTAAAAGCGCAAGAAAATAAATATATCAAATATACATTCTGAACATTTTGCGTTGAGTTTATGGCACAATTCTTTAAGTGCTCCGTTTTTGTAATTGGACTTTATTAGTCAAGTTATACGAGTCATTTTGTTTACTTTTAATCAAAGTATATTAGAGTCACGCTCAGGTGCAGTCTAATGGAATGCACATAATATAAGTAGATGACTGTAAGTTAGTCATCTAGTTTCTATGATGTAGTGCTTTGTGGTGTCTCGGATATCAAGGCTTAGTCGCGGTTAATCTATCCAATTACGACACGAGCTCATCAATGTGTAAACATTTGTGTTATTTAGTAGAAAAATGTACTTGAAAGTGGCCTCCAAAGCTAAAAAACTATGTTTTAAATGTTATTGAAAACTACTAGCTTTCATTATTACTTTATAAAATGATTTCTATTGAGTTTGAATTAACGAAATGAGTGATTTGATTATTTGGGTCATATAAATTTGCGCTCGCATAAATTATATCTGCAAAAGACTTCTAGCTATCTTTAAGGGCTCAAAGTGACTAACTCTTCATTTAAAGTTGACAAATCGCTCCTCAGGTCTCGCATTTGGTAGTCACACAACAGCGGAGAGAATTCTGCGAATGATGCTGCATGTAGGTCGACTAAACCGCAAAATGTCCGCTCGGAAGATATGCCTTATGTTTGACCATTCTAACTTTTGCTGTAACATCACCGCTTTGTATTGAATAAAACGATGATTCTCAAAGGTTTATTTACATAGTATTAGTATATAGTAATATTACATAGGTACATATATAATACTTTCTTATAATAGTTTATATTCGATTTTGGTTTTTATTTATAAAATTCTCACTATACTTATAATTCAATCATTTTTGAGTGAATTATAAGCATTTAGAGTTGATGAATTTGAAAAAAAAATCCATGTTAGAAAGGCAAAGATAGAGCCCAAAAAGAAAAAAAATGGCACTAGCTCTACGAGACATTAAAGTTTGGGAGCCTCTGGTATAGAGATATCATTGGAAACTAATAATAACAAAACACTGTCATAAACAGAAGTATGGTATGGCCTTGAGACAGTATTATATTCTTAGAAAGCCTGTTAAGAGAAATGTCTCCCCTAAATGTCAGACATCGTTTGTTTTCTCCAAAAGTCGTTCATATTTTTGTGATAGGACAAGATAGATTGATCCATAAAATAGTAAAGCTGTAATAGTTATATCTCCTTGCAAAATATCAATAAATGAGGGTGTCATCGTGAAGGTAAAAGTTTCGTACGTCGGTGTCGCTTTGAAATATACGACGTTATCGATGTTAGATAGTAAAGCAATGCGGCTTGTTTGCTGAGAGCGGTGCTGTGCTGCCAACATTACGCCTGTAATGTAAATATTATGCAAACTGCCGTGAGACGCTCTTGTGTGCTGAGATAACAAACGCAGGGGTGCCCAGTTCAAAGTTACACAGGATTTTTTGGGAAGAAACCATATTTTTGTTCTATAGTTCACTTTCGTAATAGAGACGGTAGACTTTGTGCGTCAATGAGGTAAAAGCTGATTTATAGGATAACAATTGAAGCATCTACACCATCATGTTTCTTAACTTTAACCGTTTTCAGAGGATAAACAATAGGCACTGACCTCAGAGATTCCTTTATGCAGGCTCGAAGGTACGGCAGCTTATCCAAATCCTTACAGTTCAAAATCTTATCCAAAGGAAGATTATTGTCCAATTCTTTTTGTAATTTCCTTTGAGCTCTTTCATTATTAGCTAACAAATAAACCGCGCTAGCTGCAGCCGCTGCTGTAGTATCAACACCAACCAGTAACAAGTCTAACGCCAATATTGTAGCAACTTTTTCACCAGACTGTCTCGCGATATGCGCACATACACCCTTATCGGTCAGTCTTTGCAGACACAGTGTTCTAAAAGAATCCAATGCTTCCACATATGTTTTGTACGCTGGTGTTGCGTACAATCGCCATAACGGAGCTGATAGTTCCAATTCAGGAACACTGTGGAAGAATCCATGGATGCAGCGAATTATTTCTTTAGCATCGGCATCGTTGTCCTTAAGACAACCCAGACGAGTACCCAACGCCCACGCCCCAACGGCTGAAAATAAACACTTTTAATGCCGCTTGTTACTCTAATTAGATAAACAATGATCCTTTTTATAGAACTCAGTTCAAGAAAGGATTCCACAAATTTTTATCTTGCTAAAACCACACCACCCCACAATGCACACAACCACGTGCTAAAATGACCTACGCCTACATTAATCCGTCCACTGACTGGTAATTGACTGGTAATTTACCATTTTCTTACAAAGTAGTGTCGTGGTGAGCTATAAACACAGACCACTTTTTCCTTTAATACTTTCGTAATTGATTTATTAGACGAAGGGACCTTTTTGTCACTCGATCGATACTTACATTCAAGCGCCCACTTGTACAACTCTGTAAGGAAATCTTTAGGCAATTCGCGTCTTCCATCAACTAGCCGTTCCATTCTGTAAAGGAAAATAACAAGTTATTAGAATTCTTATCTGTTGACCCTGATTAATATAACTTAACGTGTTACATGACCACGTCTGCATGTTTCAACTCGATGGTAAATTTCAATCACAATTATTATGTTAAGATAAAATTTTTAATAAATGCAAATGAATTAATTTTGAATTGAAAGAGTTAAGTACGCGTCAAGAGTTACTCGAACGAAACGCGTTCATTGAAGGAGGTTTGTTGTTCCCGCAATGAGTCAGTAGAACGCTCAAAACAAATGCGCAGACGCCGTTGCTTCAAACGGGATGTGGTCATTAAACCGAGATTCTGAGACCACTATACTAGACAACACGTTGTAGTTTCACGCATGATGAATGATGTATTCCGCTATTGTTTCTTATGTGTTACCATTATTCTCTTTCACGGCAATGGAAATCCAATTCAACATATAAAGTCCAAATACGAAACTGTTGATCTACTTACATATATTCTACAAAGCAAGTTTCGAACCATCAACTTCATGACATGTTTCAGTTACCTGTTATCAAATATTACACAACTGCGTTTTCACGATTCACGCTCTTGAATGTTAAAGTACTTTATAATAAATGACTGGTTTGGGTGTAACATTTAAGACCCGTTTTGTTGGTAAAAATAAAAAAGAGTTGGTCTACTTTTGTGATTGATTTATGTAGACATAACTTTTTTATCCACATTATAAATGTTTATATATAACGACGTAGAAATATAAAGGTATTAAATTAACACAGGTTTCAAATATTTTATACAATGGTAAAAAAACAGTTTTGTTTTTTTTTTGGAAAATCTGGGGAAATTCGGGGGAATTGATAGATAGAGAGGTAATCTAAAACCACAACAAACTTCGATCTATCGCAGCAAGTTTTTAAAATGTATACAGCTAAAATCAGTACAGTATTTGGGAAATATTATTTGCTTTGCATCCTCGCATTCTGGAATCCTTAAATGAAAATAAGACAAAATAAAATCGTAATTATCATCTTTCATACGACCTCGAAGCCTTAGTTTGACTGCATTGTATATTGATTCAATGGTTGCAGGATTGTATCTGAGTTTACAGTTGCTGTCAGATATTATGTCACGCGTGTGTTCTATTGCCCGTCGTGATCAAACTGCAATATAACTTTAATAGTATAGTACGTATCCATAAATCGACTAGAAGTCAAATCGGCATGAGATAATAAACGTGAACAAAACGACATTTCCAAATAGCAGTAACATACATTTACGATACAAAGCCGTAAAGCCGAAGAAAATCGATACGTTACCGGCATATAAAATCCTCTGTGACGTGATCTAACGTTGGCACTGCGGCTCTAGCTGCTTCCGGAGCCACCAGAGCTTTAGACACCTTTGATCTGAATCTTGACCAGGGTTCACCATGCCTGTTGACAACAGCCATTCGTTTATTAATTCACGCACTTTCTATGCAAATTGCTTATTGCAATTCAATCACTTACACTCCAATTAAGCCAGGTTCTTCGCCAAAAAAATCCTTCCTCAAATCTTGCTTGTAATGTCTGAGGCATGGTGCCACTGCCCTGTGCGGCATAGAGTCTTCCCGTCTATAAATTCTCGCGGTCTCTTCCGCACAAAACGGAAACACTAAATCTGGATGACCAAATAATTTTGCTACCTTCGCCGCTCCGCCGGTGCCGGCTAAAGCACGTAAGGTCCATAAAGTGATGTCTAAAGCGCGTGTTCGCCATGGCTTCTGACCTAAGGCGAACCGCCAAGAGTTGCCCAGCAAAGGCAAGGGTCGCGGCCCAGGCATAAATGCGTAACACCGTGCGTTGTTCATCACGTATGAAGCATCAGTGGCAGCAGCCCCTAAGCTTAACATGTAGTAACAGTGGGGCCGCTATTACGTTTTCAGCGTTTCGCAAGCCGCGCCACCTGACCGATTAGACGCGATCACATCGCAACGCAGTGCTTATTAACTGTTGTAAGCGTATTGGTTTAAGGTGAACACGGCTTGTAAGTCATGCATTCAAAATAAATCTTTTAACAAAAGTCTTTTAACAAAAGGTTAAAAAAGCCTATAAAAATAAAGATCGCCAATCCACGATATAATTAATTATAGTGCAGCGTTGTGAATAAAAACTTGACAATAGGAAAAATTTCAAGAATATTTTATAACGTTTCATTCTTATTTAATTAAAAACTGAAGTTTATTTTTGCTGCCGACGTACGATACGGTCATGGTGTTCGATAACGTTGTTTTATAATTTTTCTGTTACAAAATAACATATTCGAACGACGCCCAAAATTTAATTTCGCAAGTACTTTTATGTTATTATTAACGAAATATTTTCAAATTTTGAATAAAATTGTCGTCTGATATCTTGAAATAAATGTGACTTAGTCTTGCAAAATATTTGGCAAGAACCTCCTAACTTAGTAGACACATTAATTCTAAAATATTTTAATATGTCTTTGTTGCCAGTCTAAAAGGACTATGGAGTCTTTGCATTATCTGATAAATAATGCATTCGAATGTGATCGTGCGCTGACATTGAGGACGATTGTCTTGAATAACAATTTCTCGTATGTTTTTTATATAGTCTGCGACTGTTGTTACCCGTATTCCATAAAGTTCAAGGCAAATAAAATTAAAAATTTTGTGATTGTTTTCAAAAGATATCTTGTCACGACAATTTTTTCGTACCTCGTAGTAATTTCATGCCCGATGGAAAGAGCGATTGCCAAGACATCTAGTAATTAATATACCCATAAGGAAACAATTAGGGGCCAAAACCATTAATTAGAATCTAATGTCATATTCGGGTGATTTCAGATTCACATGCAAATGTGTCATTAAAAGATTTTAAAGCAAATGTAGGTTAAAGGAGTCACCATATTTATTAACCTGGAACTAGCTTGAACCTGTCAAAAAAGACCTTTATGTCCATGCAATTTCGCTCTTATACATACATCCATATAAAGATTTTTCTGACAGGCTTAATGCGATTCCACGTCAATAAGTGTGATGATTTCCTAAATCCTTAAAATAATAAAAAAAAATCATTAAAATCTTAATTACGAATGATTTAAACTTTAAATATAATGATGATGATGGAATTCATTTCATACGTAGCCGTGCTTGGGGACGGTGTCCTGGCGTTGTCATATCTCAATTAGTCTCCCTCTATGGAAGCTGGGAGCCGCACTCGCGCGTCGATTGCTTCATCCGGTCGGTGAAACATTCGTGCATTTGTGTACCTTCCGCAATTTTGTCAGTAAACATTTATGCCCAATTATGTTATCCAGAAATACTGTGGAATATTATTTATTTTACTATCTATCCTAAATTGATTGATTGGTGATTAATGGTCTAATAACACAAAGAAAGATGTAGCAATGACCGATATATCATAAAACGCAATGACATAAAAAATGACAACATAAAATGACTTGCGTTTAACATAGTCAAAAATTTCATGAGTTAGCACGTTTGCTAAAACTGATTGCAATTCCTGCCCCTTACTGTCCGTGATGAAATTGTGCCGCATCATTGTTTAACTCGTTAGAATACTGTGGACTTATTCACAGTTTCGTGGTTTCGAAAACGGTACAAATTGGCGCTAATCGGTTCTACATGTGTAAAACCAATTATCACGCAAACGTCAAGTCCCTTATTCTCGTGAAATCCTTTTAGACTCTTCTGCATTTTCTTCCAAATGTTCGTATCGCAAAACGAATCAGAAATATTGGAAACAAACATCTAAATAAACCTTATGGAGCTAAATCTACATATATACCTACTAATTTTTTTGACAATCTTGCGTCTGGTAATATAATACTTCAAATCTGTAGCTGTGTTAAATTAACACTATATTGAAAGGGCATCAGTAACGCAATAACGAGCAGTCTTGTTTAATTTGCTCAAGCTTTTGAAATGCGGTCGGCGGATGTTCGTGCAGACACAAGGAAACCTCTGTAAGGAGATCATTGCTCGTGATTTTGTCTTGGCGCGAAATATGGGCGTAACTGAAGCTCAAATCTTCGAACATTCTCGACTTCTTGCGATATTAACTCTTTTGTAATTTTACAAAGACTGCGAATATTGTGGAGATTTTGTTTTAAAATGAGTTTTTTTATAATGTAATATAACTGTACATTTGTTGGTTTAAGTTGACACGCGCACAAGCGCATGTTGATGCCCAAATCAACTGTAATCACGTCTTCTTCCATGCATAATTCCTTGTGCATCGTATTATTGCTGTGTGGAAATGTTCATGCATAATCTACTCTCGTGTTTAAGAACCTGGAAAATTGCTACTTATAGTAAGTCTGTATACGAGAACCTATAAAGCGTTGCAGAATACTGAACACGTTTGCAAAACAAAATGACAAAACGTACAGAAAATTGTTATGGCTGAAGATTTGCAAGGACAGATTTGTCTGCTTTGTATAGTTAACCTAAATCGTAATGCCCGCGAATCCTGATTTGACAACGATTTTCACCAAGACGGCCTTTTCAATTTGCACTATTAACTTACAATTATATGGACGTCGGGTCCGCGCTAAAAAGTGTCAAAACTTATATGGCGTTAAAATCGTATACAGATCGTCATTCACGCTTTAGTCTTCGTTTATTCGACTGACAGCGAAGTAAGCAAAATTAGACAGTACTGCGATGACATTACAATTTAAATTCAACGTTTTAGCTTTTTCATATTCTTTTACATGTCACTACGTTTAAATAGGTTGACTTGGGACATTTTTTTCGTGGTTTTTGTATTAGACCCGTCGTCCATTTATTTGTAAGTCAATGTTTTGCACCCAAAATTTCTTTCCCATGAAGATCATGAACTCGTAAGGGGGCACTAAATAAAACGAAAATCTTACTTATAATTAATTACCTCTTTTTTGCCTAAATATCCGTTACTTACTTATCGACAAACCGTAATTCTTGCGTGAGAATAACTAATTCAATGGCTGTTACATTAAGACCATAATTTAAAAATAAAGGAATCGTTCAAATGAAGGGGTAGTTTTGTTAAGCTTTTCTTCATTCGTAGATGTTTTATTCATTGGGTCATTCAGCCGTCGTCGTCGAGGCGCAGCGCAGAGGCTTTGTACTTTGCCAACCAGTATTTTGTGTTACTGACAATTACCGTGCTGGTGTTTTGTTGATTATATCGCGGTCTTTGCAACTACCAAATCGCAGATTCTACGATATCACAGCGCAACTTTGTGTTTCACAGTCATATTTATGTAAATGACGTTTTTAGCTTTTGAATTCTATTGAATTTTAGTACAATGAAGCGTGTTATGTCAATTGCAAGTATTGACCTGTATTGACATCTACCTCATTGGCGAACAAATTGTCGTATTCTGGTGGTACTTAAGTGATGTCATTTATTGCCTCACGAATGAATGACTGTTCAAGAGTCGAATTAATATCATAGGTTAACCAAAGGTCGCCCTCGATCGTAAAAATTTGAGAATAGTTTACAGTGATGAGTATACGAACGTCATTTATCGTGTTAGCAATGCCATGGCCACCCACGTCGACAGCGAATACTGCCTGACAGCAGCGGCGCCGGCGACAGATTTATGTACCGATTGCATGACGCTCGTCGCGCTAATTCCGGAGGCAATTTACAGCTCTACTCACTCCTGGCACCCGTGAACTATGCCCTCTTGCTCCTAATCTGATATTGCCCTGTTAATGCCCAAAGAATTGTTGCTATGTTGACGCCTTAGATTGTCATTTTGTTTTAAAAGCAAAACGTGACATTTCGCTGAAGAATGTTAGCGTCGTTGGCTGTTGAACCGTTTTCGTCCTCGATCGATCACGCGGGGCGAGAGTTCCAATCACTGTTGGGAATAGGCTTACATCTCGTAACAATGAATGATGCTGTGTCTAATTCGGTTGATGCTATTTACGATTGAGCTATTCATTGTGAATGAATTCTTACATGATTGGAGAGGTTAGACCGCGAACTTGCTGTCGGTTCGAATGCTGATTGCACGTTACTACACTTGAATAAGGCCTTTCATTTCTGGAATTTTCATCGTTATTTCGGGTAAAGTATCAAGCAGCATGTGGAACGTGGATTGTGTACGCACCAACAACTCCTCACTTTCGGTGTTGTGCGGGTTGTACTTGCACAAGTGGCGGGTTGTAGTATGTGGCATGCTATGCAGCGTGCAGCGTTGTTGGAGCGGGAGCGGCGCCGGGCCGCGGCCGCGCGGCAGCGGGCGGATGCGGGCGGCCGCTCGGCGTGCGGCGGCGCGCGCCGTATTGATCCGCCGGACCTGTTGCCGGGCGCCGCCGCTGCTGCCGTACCTACACACAATGCCATACGTGGATAATATGCATTCTCCCGGCTTATCCGAACGTCATGTACGTGCGTCACCACCGATCGAAATACCAGCCCTCGTCTAATCGATAAAATGATGTCGTCCTTATTAGTTATAATTTGTAAAGAAATTTTGCGTTTGAATGTTTCTATTACAAAGGCTTCAATTATCAATTTCAAATACAAATCAATATTGAATTCAGACTCCTAGTGAAGCAGCATACATATTTTCTATTAATAAATTATTTCTTCACGGATTGCTGTGTGTGATTCCCGAGTGATCCGAATGTAATTCATCCTTGTCTACTGACCCAGTTAATGTTGACAGAGTTTTGACGTCAGCAGCGCCTAGAACCGGCGCAAAAAAGCGGCACCGTTCGCAACTCCCGAATAATTCCAGCGACTGCGTAATGTTTTATAACATTAGCTAATAATTTCAGGGCGCCGATCGCGGTAGGACCCCAGTCAGAAACTGT